GAACAACTAAAGGCTTTCCCACATTCCTTACATTCATAGGGTCTCTCTCCACTATGGGTCCTTATATGTGTAGTGAGGGCTGAGGAATGAATAAAGCCTTTTCCACATTGTTTACATTCATAAGGTCTCTCTCCACTATGAGTCCTTACATGTATAGTGAGAGCTGAAGAATCACTAAAGGCTTTCCCACATTCTTTACATTCATAAGGTCTCTCTCCACTGTGTGTTCTTATATGTGTGGCTAACTGTGAGGCCTGACAAAATGTTTTCCCACATTGCTTACATTCATAAGGCCTAACTCCACTGTGAGTTCTTATGTGTGTAGTAAGGACTGAGGAATCACTAAAGGCTTTCCCACATTCTTTACATTTATAAGGCTTTTCTCCACTGTGAGTTCTTATATGTTTAGTGAGGTGTGAGGAACACCGAAAAGCTTTCCCACATTCTTTACATTCATAAGGTCTCTCTCCACTGTGAATCCTTAAGTGCTGAATGAGATGTGAGGAACACCTAAAGGCTTTCCCACATACCTTACAGTCATAAGGTCTCACGCCACTGTGAGTTCTTACATGTTTAGTGAGGGATGAGACCTGACTAAAGGCTTTCCCACATTCCTTACATTCATATGGCCTCTGCCCATTGTGAATTCTTATATGTGTAGTGAGGTGTGCTGATTGACTAAAGGCTTTACCACATTCCTTACATTGATAAGGTCTTTCTCCACTGTGAATTCTTAAATGTTGAGTGAGAGACGAAGCCTCACTAAAGGCTTTTCCACATTCTTTACATACATGTTTATTTCTTTTATGCATTTTTTTACTTAAAATGAGGGATGAAGGGCAATTATAGATTTTAAGACATTCTTTACATTCATGCTTATGATTGCTCACATGTGTCCAAAAGGATGAGACATTACAGAAATCTTTTCTACATTCTGTGCATTCATAGAGTTTCTTACCAGTGAGTGTTGTTACAGGATTCTTAAGAGTTGAGATACAAACCAAACCCTTTCCACATACCTTACATGTATGGAGGTTTGTTCCAGGAAGAGTTCTCTTAGGAGTGGTTAATTGAGAGGAACAATCACTGTATTCTCCACATTCCTTACACTGACATATATTACATTTAGTATGAGATGTGTTATGATGGTCATATGATGAATGATCCACGAAGGTGTTTCCATACTCAAAGCATTCAAAAGGATTTTCTTCAAAAAGACTTCTTTTTAGAACAGTAAGATCTGGAATCCAGCCGAATGTTTTCCCACATTGACTGCCTTCATTACTTTCAAAGAGGTTCTCTTCTGCATGACTTCTATTTAAAATAGATAACATGTTATTGGAATTATATTTGTTCCCATTTCATAACCAACCACGGTGTACGTGCATGACTTTTGTCCTAACTGGTCTCATATTTTATAGATTAAATCATCTAGCAGAAATACTACCATTACAGTCACTAGTTTTTTAAAAAAATGAGGTATTCTAATAATTTCACTCAAGAGAAGTATGTTTTGTTACATGGTAAGAGTCGCATTTATGAAAATGTATTACTGTGAATATCCTCTGAATACATAATTTTACAGCTATGTTTAAAACTACATGACTTTAACTTAATTATGAGGGGCCTTCAAAAATCTGTGGAAAAAATATATGAAAAGAAGTGCAATTTCTCCACGTAATTTTAAAGCACCTTGTATATGTATATTTTAATGTCAGAACACCTTAGATCAGTCTTCTCTTGTATAAATGACACTCACCTGAAATGTCTCCTCTCATTTTTATGCTGATCATTATTGTCATGTGATTCACAGGTTTCTCCTAACATGAAAGACCAGGTGTTATTCGTCATGAACTGCACCATTATATGTTCACTGGATAACATTTCTCCATCATTAAGATTATGGGAGACTGACCCAATAATTCAAGTTGAGATTCACAATATGAAACAAAAATGAAAAGAATTGTTAGGGGGAAAGGCTGGTATGAACAAACATACTTTCATCATTGTTTTACTTCACTGTTTCTGTACTCTGGCAATGATTAAAAAGTAACTTCTCAGTAAATGCTCCCACGAGGACTGGGAGTAACAGTGACATGATGTTGTGGTTGTTAGGTGCTGGTAAGTCACTTCTAATTCATAGTAATCCTATGTACTACAGTGGGAAACAATGCCTAGTCCTAGGTCATCCTTATAATAGTTGCTATTGATTACAGTGATATAAATAGGTGTAAATAGGAGAGCTAAGCAGAAAGATACCGGATATAATATACCTGTACAATTAAAAAGGCGGAGAAAAGGTCTCCATGACCACTAAAGTCACAAAAGTAAGCTCAGGTGTCTGTGAAGTCACGTACTCACTGCCATTTAGTCAATTCTGACGTATAGTGACCGTATAGGACAGATTGGTTTCTGAGACTGTAACTCTATGGGAGTAGAAAGTCTCGTCTTTCTCCTGTAGAAATGCTGATGTTTCCGAACTGCTGATCTTGTGGTTAACAGCCTACTGCACAACCACTATGCGTTAGCAGCCTAATGCATAACCACAATATGTTCTTAAATCAAGAGAGAATTTAGTTGACCATTTCAAATGTAAGTTCCTCCATGTAAGTAAGGATGGTTCTTCCAAAAAGTCTTGTTTTCCTGGTGCTTCCTAGCATAATGGCATTTGAGTGAGTTTATCTACACTGACCTCATATCTATCTGTTCTTTTCCTTGGAAAACAAACAAGTATCACTAGCAGGTTCCTCATAGAGAAATGTATATCATGAGAGAAGAAAGTACAGAGCAATGATCATTCCCTTGACATTGTGCAAATACTTCACCCTCAGAGAACTCTGAAGAGAGACGGGTTGAGTTTATTTGTACCAAAATAATGTGAAACCTGTAATGAACACTGTAAAACACTCTATAAGGTCCCAAACCACAAATCTCTCAGTGCTCAAAAGTGACCCTTGAAGCCAATACTTACACGTTAAACATTTTAAAGGCTTCAGGGTCATTAATATTATATGAAAAAGAGAAACCCACTTTAATACAGAGCATTATGTTCATGGAAAACCCAAGCTATGTGAACGCCATATACCAAAGGATTTAGCCTATTTAACAATTTATCACCGCTCCTTAGAGGCACAAATGCTGGAGCAAAGTTGATGAGTAAAATATTGTTCATTAAAGAGATAACTCAATAGCACATGATAAAAACAACAAAATAAAGAATAGATAAAAGAGGATGTTCTTACCTATTGAGGCCAGGTTTTGAAAGGTTTCCATAATCACATCTCTGTAGAGTCTCCTCTGAGCCCGATCCAGCAAAGCCCATTCTTCTTGGCTAAAGACCACAGCCACATCCTCAACGACCACTGAGTCCTAAAACATCCCACACATTCTGGATCAGCAAGGTACCATGTACTCCAATGTGTATAAGGAAGAAAGGATGAGGCCTACATTCCTGGAGAACTGAGAATTTATGGGGATCTGACAGAAAGAGCTGTGTGCTACTGAGGGTATAGCCATCAGCCTTGTCTCCTCTTCACTAACAGCATACACTTCCTCACTGATTGATCCTGTCTCACACACTTCTAGCACACCGAATAGCTCCATAGTTTAACTGCAACTTCTCTCTTTATGGTCTAGACCAGCGCTCTCAACCTTCCTATTGCTGTGACCCTTTAAAACAGTTCCTCATGTTGCGGTAACCCCCAACCATAACATTATATTCATTGCTACATCAACTGTCATTTTGCTAATGTTATGAATTGTAATGTAAATATCTGATATGCAGGATGTATTTTCATTGTTACAATTTGAACATAATTAAAGCATAGTGATGAATCACAAAAACAATAATCATATATTGTGAAATATTTATTTCTAATGAAATTTTGTCTTGAAGCATGGTATAGCATAAGTAGCAGTCTTAATATAACAACAGTAAACTACATTGCTACAATTCGCCACAGTATGCATAAGAGGACAACATCAGTGTGAAGGTTGAGATAGCGTCTTTCTCATCAGATCAGAAATTCTTGGGGCAGTCTTTGCAAGAGCACAATGAAGATCATCTTCCACAACTAGTCTACTTCTGTATTTAGACTTGATAACCAACAAGCTGGAAAACCCTGTTTCACAAAGATATGTTGTTGCAAATGGAAGAAGGCACAGCACAGTCTCAGACAGAACAGGATATGACTGCAAACACTTGATCTAGAATTTTTTAACAGGCATCATAGAGAAAACAGTTCTCGCTGCATCACTGTTAATAAGTTCAATGAACTCCTCTTGTGCTGTCTCAGGAACATCTTCAACTTTGACAGTGAATGGGCTTCTGGCAGGTGCAAATGAATGGGTGTCACGTAGCTTTGGAAGAGTATGATGAAATTTCGTCTGCAAGCATGTGCAAGTGTTCTTTCACAGATATTATCATCGTAATGCTTTTGTCTGGTTCAATGTCATGTTCCTCAAAGAAAGCAGGTAAGGCAGGCAAATGTAAATTTTATTTTCATCCAATAATTTTTTGCCAAAGCTGAAGTTTCATTTGGAATGATCAGATCTTTTGAGACAAATCAAGGCCTGCTGCATTTGGTTCTTGCAGTGATAAAGTTAACTCATTCAAGATGGCAAATTTGCCAAGTAAGCTATTTTCTGCAGTTCACTTTTATCACTGAAAAGTGCTTTAAACTAGGGTCTTGCTTTCCAATTTAAAAACATTTTCAGTTCATCATGAAGCTCAAAACACGTTTTAAAACTTTTCTTCTCAACAACCATCTCACTTCAGTGTGAAATAGCAGAGCATTATTTGGCACATCAAATTCATTGCACACTTGCGAAAACAGTCGATTGTTTAAAGTGCTTGCCTTTACAAAATTGACAGAACTTATGAGGCTTTTCATTACTTCTTATAACTCTTGTGACAGCATCTTCATTGCTAACATTTGCCGATGAATCATATAGTGAGTTCTGATGACTTTTGGTGACTCATTCAGTGCCCAACGTTGAAATCCAGATCGACGTCCTAGCATAGCTAGAGCACCATTTGTGCAAACACCACAAACTTTTTCACAAGAGATTTTATGCTCTTTCAGAAATGAACTGTGTCAAATACATCACTTGCGGTAGTTGTCATTCCAAGAAGTTTGCAAAAAATAAACTCACCTTTAAAGTCACCATCATTAATATACCTCACGTCAAACAGTTAACTGTGAACAGTTTGCAGCGTCTGTAGATTCATCAAGCTGGATGCTAAATATTGGAAGTGGAGCAGATTTCATATCCTGGATTACCTGATCAAGAATATCAGCAGACATATCTATTCTGCGGACAGTGTTGTTAGATAAGGAAATTGCACTCAATTTTGTAACACATTTGTCTCCAACCATAACTCGAACAATATCTTTGGCTGCTGGAAAAAGTAAATCCTTAGCAACAGTGTGAGTTTTCATAGCTCTGGCGATTCTGAGTGCCACCAAATAGGAAGCTTCAACGGTTGCTACATTTTGTTTGTGGTACTTGTTACCAGTGTCAAGTCTGGCTTTCTTGAGTCCATCAGCTTTCCTTCTAAAATAGTTGGTATTGCCCACAAAGCTCGGATGCTTGCTATCAAAATGGAGTTTTAGTTTGTCTGGTTTCATAAATTCGGCTGATAGAACTTCATAACAAATAACACATTGCAGTTTCTCAAATTATTGAGGTCAAACCATACTGCAGAAAAACCTAAGTATATATGTTTTTCTTAACGTTCTTCTCTACACGATTCATTGTCATGGGATGGCTTGCTAATGAAAATAATATAATAACAATAGCTTTAATAATACAAAAGATGGTACATGGCATAGTTCAGTCAATACAGTTCATTACAGTTTCCTATGAGTTACCATTCTGTTGTTTCTTACATACCTGTTACTATCACAAGGGGGTAGTATTCACATCTACCATAGCTGAATATAAAAAAGACCGATCACCATGTACATTAAGTTCCCATGGTAAAAATATCTATTTTTTGCAGTAGTCGATAATTTTACAGTACATGATTTTACATTTAACCAGTAATTATCATTCACAAAGTGTCATTTTACCTCCAATATTGCTGCTTTTAAAAGAGTAGCTGCTTTCAACAAAGCAGCTGCTTTTGCGCAGTGGCTACTCTCTACACAGTACCTGTTCTCTACACATGTGTAACTGGTCTGCATAAGTACATTATGGTGCAAACCCTGTCACATACACTGTATTTATATAGGGTTTATGTGATGGGGTTGGCATGATGATGTCATCAAGCCGGATCCTCGGATGTGGGCGTATCTGCATGTGGGCGGACCCGCTTGGAGACTGACAGAGGAGCGGTGTCTCAGTTCCTAAGACCATCGGAAATATGTGTTTTCCAATAATTTTAAGCGACCCCTGTGAAAGGGTTGTTCAACCCCAAAGGGGTCGTGACCCACAGATTGAAAACCGCTGGTCTAGATTATAAGTTTCCAAACGTATATAGCCTATCACCTTCTTTCCAGAAAAAAAAAATTTACCCAGTGTCCTCTTGACAAAACATTTGTGCTTTACTCCATATTACAAGATAAAGTATAGGTCATTCCCACAAGGTACATTCCACTTTGGGAAACACATCACTGTGAGAAACACTGGTCTAGATCAATTAGAAAACAGCAGAAATTAGAGAAATGTTTCAGTTCACATCACTACTTCCGTGTGAAAAATCTGTAAGACCCACCAAGTACTGACTGAACAAAATATAAAGCATAGGGTGAAGGTAGGATGAGATATTAACTTAGTGGTTCTCAACCTTCCTAATGACGCAACCCTTTCATACAGTTCCTCATGGTTGGTAACCCCCCAACCAAAAAACTATTTCCGTTACTACTTCATAACTGTAATTTTGAAGGACCCCTGTGAAGGGTCCTTTAACCCCCAAAAGGGCTGTGACCCACAGGTCGAGAACCACTGCATTAACTGGAAATAATATTGCAGAATGTCAGTTTCTTCTGTTACTGCTCTTAGGCATGAAGAAGAACAAAGAGACTAGACAAAGTGGCACCCCAAGGACCCTAGCTGGTCATATTTTCTTGAACTTTTGGAGTTCAGAGGGTGACATCTGCTTGGGGGAAAAAATGCCTTGCAACATTATGTGATTTTACATTTCATTATTTTGCCTGGTTTTCAAAACCTCAAGTTATTCTGTATTCTTTCTGTCCCTTTCATAGATATGATTTTAAGAGTTTTAAAAAAGCAAAAAGCATGTTTTAAAGTTTGTTTGTTTTTTAAGGCAGGCACAAAAGTTTAAAAAAAATTAGGTGAGAGATAGCAAACAGGAAAATCCAGATCTCTCCACAATTCTCAAATTTTGAAGACTTGCAACTGTACACCAATGATTAGAGATGGCTTTTTTCAACAAAAATAAATTCACAAATATTCAGCAAAGCACAGTATAATGTTGTAAGATGACAAAGAGCATTATCTCTGCAGAAATAAGAACAGCATGACCTTATATTTCATGACCAAGAATAGGTTACAGTTATTATTTTATAGAAATTGTACACACATTAAAAGTAATCTATAGCTGTTATACATATAAACTATTGAAATGACAAATGTTTTGTTGCATGTCATTTTTAGCATAAATTTTAATTTTGTAAATAAGTTAAAGTATAGTTTCCCTGTTAATAGCCCGGGAAGCTTAGGAAACAGATTTACCCACCAGCTAACTCGAGGTTCCATTCCAAAATTCTCTCACATATTCAGCCCTTAGAGGCTTCACAACCATAACTACCTGAATGTAACCAATGGAATTCCATGATCTGTAAGTGTGACCTCTGTGAAATAACACCCACTTCATGCAGTAAGGAGAGAAAAGGCTTTTAAAACTGCAGGGTGGGTGCGAAAACAGACTAGCTTTAGAATAAGAAGATTCCTCCTGTGAGGAAAGTGTTGAAGTGAGTTGTCTGTGCCATCACTGATCAATCATGGTGTGACGGTGTCACAACAAACTGAGCTACAGCCAAGTCTCCTCCGATGCAGTGGGCAGGTTACATATTCCAAAGTTAGCAAGGACCCTATCGTTCATATTAAAATATTTAAAACTCCACTGCCATTGAGTTGATTTTAGCACACAGCAACCCTATAGTCTGAGACTATAAATCTTTACAGCCTCATCTTTCTACCAAGGAGCAGCTAGTAGGTTTGACCTGCCAACCTTGAACTTATAGTCAAATGTTTATCGCACAGTGCCACCAAGGCTCCTTATAGTAAAATACAGCAATGATAAAATGATGTGTACATGAGCAAATAAGTTTGTGAAAGGTTTTGCAAAGCCCTTTCAACATACTAGCTCATGCATCTCACATGACTCTCTTAAGCAGATATTA